CTTTACTCCCCAAACTTTTCAATCACCAAAGTGACAACAATACCCCATTTACACATGGCACTTCAGTTATTACATTTTGAAATACTGTGCAGTCTGTATCGCTTTCCCATAAGCTATTTTATGAGTAGAGTTTGCTTTGAAAAGGCAACCCATTCCTAAGAGCAACTCCTTGTTGCTGAAGTCAGTTGTTTTGTCCTTGTCATGCAAGCATGAAGTTCCTTTAGTGAGAAAATTATCATTTCTAAGATCTGCACCTGAGAGCTGATATTTGCAGCAGTTGAAAAGGAAAGTGAGCTTTTCCTTGTCTGCCCTTACAAGCTCTGCTTGATTTTGTTAACAGACAGTGTATAATTGAAACATAAAATGGTCTGAGTGGCACAGGAGTTTATGTTCACAAGTGACACCAATGCATTTTCCCACCACAGAATTTAAGTACTTAGATGAAAGAAAGTTGGCCCAAATCTGTTTTATGATAGAAACTGATTGCTACCTTAAAAGCTGAGAAGCTTGTTTGCTTTCAGAACAGCTGTAGGAGTGAAATACAAGTGCAAGTCAAAAATCTGAAGCCAAAGTGTTCTGCTACTAGTGCTAAGTGTTCTGTAAAGGCAGATTTCAGCTACTGACTGTAGAAAGGTACTTACAGGGTCACCTCCCACTACCTCAGGTAGCCCAAAGCCCCATCCAACCTGGCCTTGAACACCTCCACGGATGGGGCATCCACAGCTTCTCTGGGCAGCCTGTGCCAGTGCATCACTGCTCTCATAGTGAAAGATTTCTTCCTAATCTAATCTAATCTAAATATATTCTTCTTTTAGTTTAAAGCCATTACCCCCTGTGTCCTATCCTGACACTCCCTCACAATTAGTCCCTCCCCAGCTTTCCTGTAGGCACCCTTTAGGTACTGGAAGGCCCCTGTAAGGTCTCCCCGGGGTCCTTCTCTTCTCTAGGCTGAACAACCCCAACTCCCGCAGGCTGTCTTCATAGGAGAAACTGACTTCATAGCAGAACCGACTAATTAAAGGTTATATTAGATTAGCAAACAGCCAATGCAGGTGAAGCTTATAGTACATTTGGAATATTTGAGGAGATGGCAAAAGACTGATTTGGAGGGGAAGGTGAGACAAAGATACAAATGGCAAAATTTCAATAGGAAAATTTTTTATGAAGAGTAATTCAGTTTGATAGGCATCAGCTTTTGCAGGAATATTTTTCTCTTTGGAAATAAGTCTCAAATATTTTAGGCTAAGCAAAGCCAGGTAGGTAAAGCTAAAATAAGACTTTACTGTGGAAAAGTGATCAACTTGATATAACTAATGCTAAAAAAATGTAAAAAAAAATAAATACTGTATACTACGAGGAGCATTTAATAACATTGCCCCACTGCCATTTCCTATCCTCTGCCACAGACCTTCTCTGTTTGTTCTTCGTGGGTTAGTGTCATCTCGTAGGATTAGTACTGTAAACAACTGACTCTCTTCAATGGTCATTCAACTAAACAAAGGTTATAGGAAGTGTTTGCTACCTCAGCGTTACACTGTTCTGACAGATCAAGTAACCTCTCTAGGGCTGAGAGATGCCTTTGTGCTCATTGTTAAACAAGAACTGTGAGCGCTTATGGAACCATAAAAGCTTAATCGCAGAACATCAAAAGTAGCTCATGCTATGCCAAGCCACTCTCCAGGGATTATTTAAATCAACACATCCCCTCCTGCACTTTGACTGACAGCTTTTGCTGGAATTTCCTTATGGAAGTTCTTGCTCATTACATGCAAATATTTCTAACAGTATGAAATTAAGTAAAACTTATGCAATGACCAAGTTTTATAGGTTCACTACTCTGGGTACATTAGCTTCTTCATCTCACTCTCTAACCTTCTTTTTCATGGAATCATACAAAAAATTCTTGTATTTAACTTTTGGGACTAATCGCACTGTCATCATGTCAGTACGATGTGGGATGCCACCTTTCTCCAGCCAATGCTTCATCTTCCCACAGGCAACACAATGTTTTCGCAGAGGGAGGAAGTTCTCTGAAAACTTATGAAAACATACGTAATGATTTTTTTTATTTTTTTTTTAAAGAAAAAATAAAGCAGCAAGAGACCTAGTTTTACTGCAATGCCTGTGCAAGTCCTCATCATACAATTTACAGCCAATATCAAAGACAGGCTACATTTTCTGCTGCAAAAGTTGCTTATTTTACCATTTCTTTCTTTTCAAGTGACATTTGCATACTTCATTTTTGATTGCAAACTAAGATTTTGAGCTCTCTGGGGAAGGATCCTTTTTGTTCTTGCACCTAACGTATCTGCCATGTCAGTACAAAGGGACTGTTATTTTCTGACTGTTTTCAAGATGAAATTTTCCAACATTGTCTTCCTCAATGCACAGCTTCCTAAATAACAGCACAAGAGCATCTTCCCAAAACATTGCATTCTCCAATGGAAACTTGTGACAGATGAAATCATGTAACTTAAAGCCTTAGCTGCAAACTGTTTGTAATGATAATGTGGTTTACAGTATAGATATCATATCTTTCAAGTATGAACTCCTAAGATCCTGGGCGTCATATGAGGGAGCGTATTTTTGTATTTTCTCAGCATTGCAAGAACACGTACATTGAAAAAAGAGTGAAAATTAACAGAAAAATAGGGGCTATGTTTTAAAACCAACTGATATTTTATGCTGTGATATCATGAGCTTGTTTTCAGACAATTTGTTAATTGAAACCAAGATTTTCATTCAGTAGGTCAATTACTTGCTGGGAATATTTCATGAAACTCTCAGTAACACCACCTCCATGGATTTATATAGATGCACCAGAATCGTTCCTTGTGACTAGACTATGATTCAGAATTAGCTATCAGCCTTCTCTAAAGCAGCCCTTCTGCAGTTTCATGTGAGAATGTTTAGGTTAAGATTTCCAAAGATTTGTGCGTAGGTATATGTCTACTTATTAAAGCAGGTACAATGAGCTTAGTCTTTATATGCATATATTCATATGTATAGGCTAATGCAGACTGAGTCTAGTGGTACTGCACTCCCCTAAAGTTACTCACATGTATATACATTTGCAGGCTCAGATTTAATGAACTGATTCAGAATTAATTGGGAAAAGGTGGAGGTTATTTTTTTTTTTCTCTTTCTGAAAGCAGCTCTCTTTCCTTTACTACAAAAACATCATGCAATTTCTTCTGAAGCTGCAGATGCTACCACAATTGTAATTGCCTGTCACGCAGTGAAGAAATCTAATTAAAACCACTTATTTGTACCTATTAACCAGTCTCTTTAAACGCAGACAAAAGACCGTACCAGAAGCTAAAACATAAGTGCAGAGTGTGGTCTTCAATTCAGTAAGAGAAACACCGGATGTTTTCAGATAATTACACTTACCTCCATTTTCCAGTTACTACCAATTAGCATTAACTGTGAACTTAAATGGGTATGCAAATCACTCCACCTCAATGCTATTCCAGACTGGTTCAGGCTGTTGGCATGATATGGGACAAGGCATTTCATCTTTCACATACTTAAAATGAAATTCTCACTACAGGTTATAGCATAGCTTACAGATAAAGTACACAATAATTGTAAAAAAGAATGTTTAATAAAGTGCAAGGAATAACCAGGTTTCTCTCGAGAGTCAAGATTCTTAAGCATTTATAGATAAGGGCAGTATGTTCCTTTGTAAGCTCCTTCTCTACATCATTTAGAACAACAAAGGTAAAAGCTGATTTTACAAGAATAAACGTGAACACTAACACAACAGAAAACTCTGATATAAAAGCAGGGCAGAGTACTAAACCAGAAACATTTAATAAATACCCTGCTGCACGAGATCATCTGGCAGAGGTTGCTGCATGTCCTCGCATCAAGTCACTGAAGACTTCTCTTTGTTTCACATTATAGAGCATTCACTGGGCAGGAGGAAGGGCTGTGCTACACACACGTTTGTTACTGCTGGTGTGATTCTGTAGGGAAACTACTGCTAGCCTGAACCTACTGGAAAGGCACTTGGGATTGTAGTGTTTCAGGTTTCTGTATGTAAGAAGCAGGCCCTTAATAAACCACAAACTGTGGCTTATAGGTAGACATATATAGGCTTATGGTAGACAGCCCTCCTTAAGTCAATGGGTGGTTGTAGGTCCATTTTTGGATTTTTTTGAGAACTCTTTAGGATACTGTGAACTGGAGCAGGTCTTCTGTGAGGAGAGGCTAAGAGAGCTGGGACTGCTCCCCGCCTGGAGAAGAGGAGGCTCAGGGGTCTGGCATCAGGGTCTGTAAATACTTGAAGGGGGGCTGCAAAGATGGAGCCAGGCTCTGCTCAGTGGTGCCCAGTGCCAGGACAAGAGGCAGTGGGCAGAAACTGGAGCAGAGGAGGTTTCATCTGAACACCAGGAGCCCTCCTGTGCTGTGTGGGCTGCCCAGCGAGGCGGTGGGGTCTCCTCCTTAGGGACCTTCAGCACCACCTGGCCGTGGTGCTGGGCACCCTGCTCTGGGTGGCCCTGCTGGACCAGGGGCTGGGCCGGGGGCCTCGGGAGGTCCCTGCCCACCTGAAGCCCTCTCTGGACACGGGAAGCCGGACGGGGGCTGTCCCCGGGGGCTGTCACCCCAGACCTGCCGCCCTGAGGCAGCCTCCCCGGCCCTGCGCGCTACCTGCGCGCAGCCCCACCTCACCGTCCCGCAGCCAAGGCGGGGCCGCCCTGCGCTTCGCTTCCCCTCACCTCACCCACCCCATCCCCAAACCACCCCCATCCCAAACCCACCCCCATTATCCCCAAACCCCATCCCCACCGCCCCCTCCCCGGAGCCACCACCCGCACACCCCCTCCCTTCACCCCCACCACCGCCCCTCCCGCCTCCATCTCCCCCCTCCCCACAGCCCCCTCCCGCCCAGCCGCTTGGCCCCTCCCACACCCTTCGGATACGCCTCGCGATTGGTCCGACCCTCCCGTCACTCCGCGACGGCCGCGCTCTGCGATTGGCCGGCGGCGCCGTCAGTCTGCGGCGGGGGCCGCGCTCGGCCCCTTGTTGTCAGGGCTCCGTGCGGGGCCGCGGCCGCCGTTGTTGCCGTTAGCGGCGGGTGAGGGCAGCGCCGCCTCCGGCCTCAGCCCGCGGGGGAGCGGGGCGCCGCCGCCGCACCATGGCCACCAGCACCACGGGCTCCACGCTGCTGCAGCCCCTCAGCAACGCCGTGCGCCTGCCCGTCGACCAGGTGAGGCTGAGGGGAGCGCCCAGCCATCCGCTGATGCATTTGGGGGGGGGGGGACACGCACCGAGCCCGGAGCCCCCTCATCGCCTCACATCCCCCCCTCTCCCCCATCAGCCTCCTGTGGGGTGAAAGGGGACGACCAGGATCCTAGAGTCGCTTTTTGGGGTGTGGGGGGTGTGGGGTGAGCCCCCCCGGCAGCCACAGCCTGTGGTGGCTGGGTATTGTGTGGTAGGAGGGGTCCTGGGGGTGCTTGGTGGGGCTGGGGAATTAATTTTATTTTATTTTATTTTTGTGTGGAGGTTTTGGATTTTTTTTTTGGCTTTTGGGGGGGGTTGGGGTGGTGTGGGGTGGTTGTGGGGGGAACGGTGCCCTATAGGGGCTTATATAGGGGCTTATAGGGGATGTATATATATAGGGGCTTATAAAGGTGTGAGGGGTTTGGAAGTGGCTCCTCGCTTACAGCACCGAGGAACTTCGTATGGGGAATTCTTGGGGGAAAAAATAATCGGTGGTAACGTGTGAATGAATGGAGCAGGTCAGGAGGCGCCCTCACGTAGAGGGAGGTGGTGGTTCCTCTCTGTAAAACGAGTGGAAAAAAGCAATGGGATGCCAAACACAGAGCGAGGAGCGTGTTTAGTGACTTTTGGAAGTGCCCAAACTATGTGCTTTTTCTCGTTTTCCTTCCTTTTGTTCAAACGGAGGTGAGGCAACCTGAGGTTAAATACACCTACGGAAATATCTCTTCTAGAAACCTGCCAAAAGCTGGTGGATTTGAGCCGGGCTGGTGGGGTGGATGTGGTGCGCAAGTTGCGGTGCTGCCCGCATCCTGGGCTGGTGGTGCCACACGGCTCCGTGCCTCCGACCTGTGGAGTCCTTCCAGGCAGGTGCCACACACAGATTGCCATTAAATGGGCACTTCCTCAGGGTACCGTAAAAGAAATAATAAGAGGTGACCCTCTCTTCGTGGCGTGATGCTGGTGTCGTGTAATTATCTATTCATAACAGCAGCCATAAATTTAATGGCTTCGTGACGTGGTGCTGCTTCTACCCAATTTATTTTAAGTCCTGCTGATATGGCATTTTGATGGTAATGAAGTTACTTTTTATCAAAGCCTGGAAAACTTCCCTGTATTGAATGTGTTGCAACAGATGCCCCTGGAAAGGCAAGATGGTTTTGTAAAGCGCTGTGCTTGAAGCTCTGAAGCTTTGGGGGATAATCACAATGGAGGGTGGCTAACCACAGGGTTTAAAAGACTTTCTGATAAGCGGCTAAAAATATACATGTTTTGTTTTTTCCACATCAGTGGACCATAGAAAATGCAGGCCCAGGTGTGTGTGAAGAGCCTTGTGACTGAAGCATGAATTGAAGGGTTATAGGATTATGCAGCACTAAGGAGAATGAACCTTTAAGTGATCACAAACAAGCGAAAAACCCAACACTCAAAGTCAGATTTCTGTAACCTCTCAGCTTAAGAGTCTGTCTTGATCGTAAGCTTGTAATACAGGAAGAATGTGAAATGTGTTCAGTGTAATCAAATCAAACGTGGGGGAGAATGAGGGCAGAGAAGAGAAAGTGCTGATACTCTGTGTGTGTGCTCAAGGGTTATGTGTGGCATTCAGCGATACTATACACATACCAGGATGAAAATGTAGCTGTGTGTGTGAGGAGAAAAGAAAGAAAAGAAGAAAAAGGGGGTTCTGATTAGTAAGTAAGTTGTTCTACTACCTAATCCAAGCAGGTACTTGAAATGGGGGCTCTAGAGCAATGTGCTGTAGTAGCACTTGGAACTGATGGATAGAGATGGGTGAGATTTGTTTCTCCACTTGTATGTTTTGGTTTTGACCACAAGTAGATGCTAATTATATGTGAAATGCCATGATCTACAATTAAGCCGTTAGGTTCTGTAATTATCCTGCCCTAAAGTTTTACCGAGGGCGGAGGTGTGGAAGTCTGGGAGCCAAATCCAGATAGCGTGTGTCAGTGCTTCTCTGCTGCCTGGGTATTCAAACAAACGGCCCGAAAAGCTCGCCTCTTTGGCAGGGGATGTAAGTGGAAACTTCAGTGAAAGGTGAAGCTTCTCTCTCTAGTTTCAATCTAATCAATCAGATCGGAATTCATGTGGTTGAGTGAGAGGAATCAGTTCCTTTTGGACTTCACCTTTGGTGGAGCTGGGGGCACAGACCTAAGCCTGGTTACATGCCAGTTAGGGACCAGTGTGGAAGATGCAGAGTGACAGCTCCACCGGAGCCCTTTGGCATAGTTGTAAGAAGAAGAATCTCCTCTGTGCCCAGCTGTGTTGGCAGATAAAAGCTTTGTTTCTTTAAGATTGCTCTTCCTCGACTTTTCCTCTTGGTACCAGAGTACCAGTTAGCTACTGGAATGGAGAAGAACTTGTTTTCCTCTTCTGTGTGTATCCCCCAACAGGGTGTTACTGATAACTCGCCCAGATGTTAACCCTTCCTTTAGCTCTTCTCTTGCACTGAGGTAACTGAACTGTCTGCTTGGAAAAGCTGATGCATCCTTCATGGGCTGCTTCCTTCATTAAAGAGGATTTTGTTCTTATTACTTGCAGTCCTGTGTAGCTAGGGAAGATGGTTGGTATGAACGACAACCTAGAAGAGTGTCTGTAGGTTTGGGAAGGCAAACTTGACTACTTTTTGTGTATTTTCTCATAGCAAAAAGTTTTCTTGCACTCCATGGGGGTGAAAAGCCTAATGTAAGATCTGTCTTTTCACTTCTTGGAGCACCAAAGTTTGCTGCTCAGCAAAGGAAGCGTCCTGTTGATGACAACTGTCTTCTTGGGTCCTTAAAGTTAATGAAGAGTGAACGCACATAATTGCACCGCTGTTCTCCTTCTGTCTTGTTGGAGGAGAGAGGGAATAAAAGTAACGTCCTTCCCCTCCCTTACAGATAAAGAGAAGTGTGGCGAGAATTACCATGAAAGGATGGCTGCTTGGGGATTCTATGTTGCATAATGCATCAGGGTTACAACTTCACGTGTTTTATTACTGTCTTGTTTCTCACCTGTGCTTCTAGTTTTCTTGGCTGTCTAGCTTTCCTGTCATGTCTGTGTGTCTGCTGCTTTCTTCTTTCTCCAAGGTGAAGCCTTGACGGGATAGTGTGCTGGGCTGTGGTTCATTTCTACTTCTGGCACCGTCTTGCTGAGTATATCTTGGCAAAGAGCTTCTATTGCTGATGTATCAGCTCTTCTGCCATTAAATTGGAGGCATTTAAATTTGTGCTGAGATGAGAATGGTCCTAGGAGAGCAGAGCTCTCTTCTTGGCTTTGGGTCTCCTCGGGATAAGTCAAGTTCAGAGCATAATCTCTGCTCTCACTGCTTCCACCAGAGGGAGCAAAATTTTTTTTGTCTGAAAATTGGCAAAAATTAGTTGAAATATTCCTGCGGTTCATTTGCCATAGAAACAGCCAACCCTTATAAAGGAGGAGCTGGCAGGGAGATGGGAGGTCGGTAACCACAATACGTGAGCCTCAGCTGTCGGTGTGGTTGTCTGAGAGATTGATCTTGAGATTTGGAGTTATGGGCTGGGGAGCTGGATCAGCTAACTGTAGTGATCATCTGCTAGATAAAAGAAAGAGTGTAGCCGTGGTGTAGCTATGTGGAGATATGTGGATCGAATAAAATATTGTGTGTGGTTATACACCTCACATAAGAAATAAAGATAAGCAGTATTTTTCAACACAAGTCACCAAATTTCCTTGCTGTTTCTCTACTTGTTTTCCCCTCCCACACTGATTTTAGCTTTTATTTGAATAATTTGCTTATTTGTGTAGAATAGATGGAATTTTCTACATGAGCGCTACCAAGATTCGCAGAATCTAGACTGACCTTTTTAAAGAATAGGCATAAAAAGCTACATGAACCATATAAAATTCCTTAATTTGGAGATTGCAGGCAAGCCTGCTGCATCTTTGCATCACTTGCAGCATGCATTTCCCCGTGCAGAGGGTTTGCCTGAGTTCCTTTCAACGTGCCCTGACTGCTTGGCCTGCAAACCGTGAGTATTGATGCACGCCGAGCCTTCGCCTTTCTCCTTCTTGTCCTCAAGAGTAGGCAAAATCTTATTTTTTTTCCCTTCATATATGCATATGTTTGGTGAGATGTATCTGTTTTTGTTTTTTTTTTTTTGACTTTATTTGGATGCTTCAGAGATGAGCCACAGCTGGAGCTTGTGTAGAAGACCAGGCTTGGAGCTGGTATGGGGCATCATTTTGCTTAGCAGCAGCATGCGCCCAGTTTGCCTGCAGGAAGCATCTGGACACACATCTCTTGTTATTTTCCAAAGTTTTAGGCATTTGTGATGCCTTAGTCTCCCTTGTTTTCTACCAAGGCAACCTAACGTAGCCTCCTGAGGGCTGAAATGCTTCAGTCTAATGAAAGCCTTTTTGTTCAAATATAGGGGAGAAATTAAAGAGTTTGTCTAGCCATCCAGAATTTGTGTTAGACCTCATTTGTATTAAGAATTACAACACTGATAATAAATAAAAAGACCAAGTGAAGAGTACCCCAGGTTTTATTCTTCCTTACCATTGATTCTGTGTGTAGCTGTTAAATATGAAGCAACATATTGATTTTTCTCCCCTCCCGATGTAACCCAGGAAACTTATGAGTAATAGAAGTGAGTAAGAGTGGTATTGATGGGTGTGTAAAATCCAAACACCGCAGATAAGGGAGCGGTAGGACGAAAAACCTCTGCCCCTGCTTTGTGCTGGTCTTTCCTTATCTGCTGCTGGCAGCAGTCGGAAGAATGAAGGGTGTGAAGCAAAGCAAGATCTCCTGTGACAATCCACACAGGCTGCAGGGTGTGAAAAGAAGCCAAAGGAAGTGCCCATGTCATTTCTGTGTGTGCCATGCCCAAGGAATGGGTGGTTCAGATATTTTAGACTTGCTACTGAAGTGCAGGGATATTTTTACCTGTTTCTTAACTTCCCTTGAACTAGTGGAAGGGAGGGAATGCATCATTTTGTGGGGCCAGTCTCTCT